ACAACGCGTTAGGTGGTTCGCTTATCTTCGAGCGGTACATATACACAAATAAATGGTATTCATATCGGAAATTTTTTTTTCAAAAAAGATTCTTACCATGTTCTGAAATGCCACTTCTACTTTATACCAATTGCCATCAATGACACCACCATTTACATTCAATGTAACAATGACTTTGTGGGAAAACAGTGAAAACCTGAACCAAACTTGTCCTTGCCACACTTCCACAGCAATAAAGTCATGTTTTCCATCACACCGTCCATTGAAGAGCAAAAGCCCACTGTGCTCAGTGGTGGTAAACTCCATCTGTATGTGTAAATGCCATCTTTGTTTCAATGCTAGGAAAAAAATAAAATCATCATCATCACATCAAAACAAACTACAAACAGTGCCATTGAGTAACAATCCATTCACCCCTAAGAGTGACCAGCATCTAATTTCTCATTGCAATATCACCCCTAAATCACTCATTAAAGTCCCTAGAATAAAGGAAATGATCACCAGCTAAAGAAGCTCTTGATTGTTGTACAGTCTCCTTGTCATTAACCCTTTAACTCCCAGAAGTGATTAACATAAAACTTCTCCCTACAATATCCATACATTCTTCAGCAAACAAGTAATGAGAAAATTCAAACTTATCAGGTAGAAGCTGCTATCTTGATCTACTGTAGCACCAAGTTCTCATAACTAATTTACAAGGAAATGTATAGCAGCTACAGGGGAGAATTAACAATCAGATCTTGGGAGTTATAGGGTTAACTTAGGAAATGTACAGAGAACAGTATGGAGAATATGGGTACTGATGTTTGGGTGAAAAGGGTTAACATAAAATTACCTTTTAGAAGGAGCTACATGAAGGATAGTAAACCAATACATTTAAACTCACAAAAAGCCTCACAACAATTGAAATTCCATCCTCCAACACAAGGTAGAAGTAGCACCTGGATTGGAACACAATGCTCCTAACATAGTATATGTGACTAACTTGTTTGATTTCAAGTCACCTCCCATATTAATAATCTATTCATTACACAACACCAGCACTTAACTTTAAAAACCTCAACATTCAAAAATTCATTGTGTCTTAATTCTGTCAGTTTTTCATCCATTTTCAATCCTGTGTGAAATTCAGTATCAAGTGGCTCATGCAGTCATGCAGAGGTGGCAAGTTTTAAAAGGGGTGCTTACTAAAGTAAAGTAGAAGAGCTTATTCTAGGAATTATAGTACATGTAACTACAAATAAATCCTTACCAGGAAAGGCAACAAATGATCCTTTTTCAAAACTGCACGTTTTTTCAGTTGGCACAGTGACCCATCAACTTCATTCAGATCTTTGCACTGACAGGTGAACCTGCTTCCAAGAACATTTTTACAACCACCATCACTATGGCATGGATTTGCATTTAGATGATTTTCTGTCGCTTTTGAGTCTGTATGACACTTGCTCTTTGACATGTCAATCTCACAGTTTACACCAGCTCTTCCTGGATTGCATATACAAGAGTAGCCTTCCTCTACACACACACACTTCCCATTGTTTCCACAAGGATTGGAGTAGCACAAGTTTAAACCTGTGTCACAACTTTCTCCTCGATAGTCAGTAGCACAGGGGCATCTGTAATTAGTTTGCACTCCAACTGAGCGGAATACCACCTTTAATGAGCTGTAGGTGTTGGATTTGACAGTATAGTCAGTGTGTAAGGGGAAGTTGCATATTTCTTCGACAAACAAGCCATCAACTCCATCAGAGTGTTTTCTTGAAGTCTAAGTAACGATTTTCGAAGCACCAAATAATCGGATTTGGCGTCGAATCTGAAATACTTTCTCCATTGTGTCTCTCTAAGCCTTAGCGACGCAGGATCTTCTTCGTGAATGAAGTCTTTCAATCGAAGCACACGTGTTCCGACTGAAGCGGTCCAAGACACTTTTCTCTGAAGCTTTCTAAAGCAGTTTTTTCCAAAAATTGTCACGATCAGAGGTCTTTGAGTCCTCTCTGCTGAATTAAAAATGGAAGTCGATGATACATAAATATTAAACGGATTGAGCTGTAGAGATGTGCAGTCTGGCTTGCGAATCATTCGCAATAATCCGTTTGTTGAACAATAGACAGAATTTGAAGAAGAGTAGTATGTTCGTCGGTGTTCGATGCTTCAAGCGTGTAATTCGTCCATCCCGGTCTACTTAAATTAGCTAAAATACTATACGGCTCTAAAGATGAATAAATATTAATAACGGTGCCGTCCACTCGATGAAAAGGCCACAGGCATAAGTGTAAAAGAAAACCCAACGATGCGCGGTCGAAACAAGCCATTTGGCGGCGAGTCTGTTGACACCGTGTTAAGATAAGCGCTTTTCATGAGCGAAGTTGAAAATCACCAGTTCTTCCTTCAGCATACGTAAATGAACAACACTCGCTATTTTACTTTTCCATAAACACGGCTCAAGATTGGATAGAGCGCTCATCTTAGAGCACACGAGATTTGAAATACCTTTAATCTTTTCGGTTAGTTTGGTCGAGTGTCGGCAAGAGGTCTAATTTGTTTGACTGACAAGTTTCAGCTAATTGGCTTCCTCGCCCTCACGTGATCACTTTCTGTGGCCGCGCGAGTTATTGAACCCAAGGTTTGCATGACAAATAAAACTATTTGATTTTCCACAAGCATTCTTGTGTGATTTATTTGCAAACAAAAGGAGGACTAGAGGCTCACCGTGTGATCAAACAGCAAGTGTTTTTCATTTCGACATATTGAAAAGTTTTCAAAAACATCGTTCAAATCAAGAACTTTCGCAAAATTGACAAGATTTGCGCGGAATTTTACAAATTTTTTAGTGGAAATAAAATTGATTGAAATCGCTTTTGACAATATATTTAACTCCGACTTGTATCTTAAGGCTTGAATGCCTGTCACACAAGATACCTTGATGATATTGCTTTAGCGTAAGCGCAAAAGTTAGTCTCTAATTTTTGCAGCTGAACCAAAAAATCAAAAATATATATATTATTGCACATGATTATTATTATTACTATTGCAATAACACAACCAGACCTTTGCCTGGGTCATCCTTCATCTGATTTGTGCTCAATCCCTAGATGAAAGATCGCAAATAATTAGCAAAGCAAAAATTGTACTTGTAAACGAAAGCGTAGCGTGCGTGACTCTGACATTTCCTCTCAAATTCTTGACGTGCCAAAAATTTGCAGTGCGGAAAAAAACTCTCTAGAATATTTTGTCAAGTATGTTGTCTTTACAAGTGTTTGTAACTTTGAACGTGTCAAGACTTGCTAATGATCGGTTGACGATAAAACACAAGAGACAGGATCCAAAAATATGTGATATTGAGGCTGCCTATGGTTTGTCTTAGCCATAATATATCTTCTCATTCAACAAAGAAATTCTTTTTCTTCTTTCCAAACTTGGAATAATAAAAAGATCGATTAAATTTCAAACGGGGAGATATGTCCTTAGATTTTAAAAATTCAAGGAATAATTAAGTCGCTAATTAACGATTGACAGAAATACGATATAACGCGAAATTAAATCAAATATGGATACCAACAGGTATGAATTCGGAAGTATATATTCAAGAAGGAAGTTGATGCGACTGGGTTGTCATCTTGAAATAAAAAAAAAATGTGTCCTGAAATCTTACAAAAAATGACAGCCATCTGTTTTGAAAACAAAGTGCACTGCTTCGGCGAGTCATTCTAAGTACAGGCGTTGAGTGCAGATCCGCCTACACTTGCTATGCGATATCTCAAAAATCACAAGAGACTCTCGACATCAAAGCCGTAATCAATTAAAACAGAGCTTACACTGATTTAAATTTGACGCAATTACTCAAGAGCCTTGAGAGCAATGCAACTTATAAAGCATTCTCTGAAAAAAAAATACTCTTAAAGAGAGCGATACATATCATAGCGCGAATAATTTTCACGCTGATACAGTTTGAATGAAAACGCTAATTTTCCATTTGTGATTTCCTGATAGCACAGCCAAGAATTCAAGCTGAGAGTTCAGGGGCAGCAATGCTCATTTTTCATGTTTTCAAGCGAAAAGGATAAAATAAAGCTTGAAAGGAAGGCCGCTGATCGCAAATAAACGCTTGCCAATTACTGATAACTGTCTAAAAAATGAACAGAAACGTTATAGAAAAAGCAAGACGAATCAATATACACTTGAAAAACAAAACGAGACCAAACTAAAACGACAAACAAAAACAAAAAACAAACGAAGAAAGACAAAGAGAAAGGAAATTAGAAACTGTTGGAAATGGGAAAATTGCTTGACAGCTGACGGTTGAAACAGTCTAATGACGCCACTAAACTTTATTTGTCACCAAATGGCTTCAAGCTTCAAGGATCTCTCACTTGATTGGCTGATTCAAAACAATGATGATGTCATGATTCTAATCTTTGATCAACAAAGAGAATATTATGCTAATTTGCCGATCAGCAACGGTATTCGAAAACATTAAAGCTACATGAGAATTTACCCATCTATAGATTATCATTAATCATTTTATTAGTATGGTTATTAGTATTTTTATTATTTACATGTATCATCATCGTCATTATTGCGATTGTTATTGTTATTCTCGCCTTTTCTATCCCAACAGAGCAGTGTTTACCTATCTGATAACTATCTAATTTTTTTACGGGGGGTTTCTCCTTAGAATTATTCAGCGTCAAAGGTGTTTGCTCATTTAAAACGCCTTGAACGTTTTATTCTTAACAGTGTTATAAAAAATTTCATAAGAACCATAAGATGCCTCAGTTACTCTCGATCTGAATTTTCTAACGTGTTGGATTGACTATCATTACGGAACCAAGTGATAATAAAATTATATTTATAGAAACCCGTTTATTCAGAAGTTAATTGCATTCTCCAGATGGTTGCAAGCTTATAATTTTCTTGCCCTCTTACTTGCTCTATTCGAGGTGAGGTCATCAACATTTAAAGAGAATTGGATTCTGAAATACATCTTTATGCAAAGTTAACGTCACCGTCTTCCTTTTTTTGGTTTTTGCTATCACGGAAGGAATATTTATATTCAGCGACTTTCGACTTTGTTCGGCAGGAATCTATTCATTCTCAGAGAGACACCTTAGAGAAAGGTAATTTTTTCTAGGCTATTTTTGTACCGTGTGGAACATTGAAAACATGGTTATTCTAAATATTATGTAATTCAGTTGTTACCTGCTGATGATGTGCCGTGTATAATTGATCATCGCCGATGATCATCATCTCTATTATTTCGACTCGGTTGTTAAATAATTATTTTAAAGCTGATGGTTTTTAGTACCATACAAGTACTGATTCTAATTCTGATCGGGGCGACTTCGACGGACATAAGAGTGTTGTTGTGTTAATACCATTATCTCGGTATATTTAGCATTTTGGGCCAATTTTTTTTAGAGTACTTTGCTTCTGTATGTTTTATCTCTGATAAAGTGCTTGTTAAATAAGCGTTGCTTTTATAGTTCTAGATCTAAGTGGTCGTTATAGCTGAATTATATTCGCACATTTACCTGTTTTCCTCTTGACAAAAAAGGAAAAACTGCTGAAATATTTTGTCTTAAAATAGTACATTAAATAGGAAGAAAACAAGACAACATTGGAGGGAAAAAAAATCCTGGGAGAGATCATGCAATTCTGAGGTAATCCACTTATTGTTATCAACGGACGGGAAACGACCGTGCGCTATAATATATAAAAAAAAGATTTGTTGGACATTTTTCTTTACAGCACCTGTCGGTTAAATTAGCTATTATGTTTTGGTTAATCTACATTATTTGTTCTTGGCCGCTCGTTCTAAAGGAAACGGCTAACTACTAATAACTTAAAGACTATTATCATTTTCTTTTCTATCTCAAGAGAACGTTCTTTTTCCCGCGAGTAACTATCTATTTTCTCGGGGGTTTCTCTCTAAAACACCTTGCATCGAAGGTAATTGCTCATTTGAAACGCGTTGAACTTTTGATGCTTAACAATGCTCTATCAAATTTCATATCAAGAAGTCTCGGTTTTTGTCGAATTCAGTTTCTTTTACCTTGTTGGAATGAGTATCTGTAAGGAGCAGATTGGTGATAAAATTCTCGTTAAGCTTGCCTATTCAGAAGTCACTTCAAGTGGCTTCAGGAATGCTGTGACGAACAAGTAACATAGTTAATCAAAATGTATTTATGAATAATGAAATTTCTATTCTTTAGTTTTCTCAGTTTGATACGAACTCCAATTTCTTAATTGATTATGTTTTACTTTTTCAGATTGTACAAGTGTTTTGAGTCAGATCACTGCCAAGTGCAAGAAAGGTAAAGTGTTCCTTTTTTGGCTCCCTTACAAGTTTATTAGAAATGCCACAATATTATTATACAGGTGTAAGTGATCAGAAATTACAATACAACAAAATAAAATACAAAAAAAAATATGAGCAGTCATATTTTTATCATAAGACAGACATAGACGACGTTTTCATGATAATTACTTTGCCCATTTCATGCGAGTTACAATACCATCTCTTTTTTCTACAACTCAATGCCACTCAAAGCACAGGTAGAGCAATGAATAACAAAGGCCCATACGAGAAAGACATACACGTATTTATGCGAGTATGTCGACGTATGTCGCTTGATACGTGCGCATGGTACTTCTATACAATGTCCCCTTATCTTTGAGCTGCACTGTGTATATCAGAACATTTCATTGTTGCTAATGTCAACATACAATCTTCATTCTAAGTTCTGATGGTGAAATATCAAATTGCACAACAAGTTTTCAAACGTAATTTCGACCGTTTCTCAGTAGCTTGTGACCATAGTAGCATCATTATCATCATTATCATTATTATAATTACTACTACAACAACAACAAGTCTTTATTTCTAAAAAAAAATGGAATTACAATGAAATAAGAAAAATGATTATAATGAACAGGCAAAATAAACATAGTTGTACCATTTTTGGAGCCTAGACGCTGGAGGAACCGTTAGGTTTTCGAGCTAGACCTCTATGAATTATTATTACTGTTGCTATCATTGTTATTATTTATATGATTATTTGTTACCTTTGAATTATTGGTTGAAAGTCAATTGGTCACTGTGCTGTATCAGTAGCTATATCAGTAGCCACATGCAGTCTCAGACTGCCTATCGTTCCTTTATCGGTGGGAGAACTTAACTAAGCAGCACAACAATCAGCGGATTGCTTACTTTCCTACCAAAAAAGGAACGATTTGACTACATCCGATTTTGATTATTTTTTACCTTTTTTTGTTTCCACAAAGATTGTCATGAATCCCCAGGTTGTTCTACTGCTCATGCTGGTAGCCGTCCCCTGCACATCTGCGAGTATGTTGCTACTGCCATTTTGTAATGTTTAACTTCGAGTCAACCGAGTGATTCCCTATGAAACCTTATAACCAAAAGAAGTTTGGCATGATAGACGCATTACAAATTCCAACCCTATTCTGAACAGGCTTTTCTGTATCTGAAGGAGACCTTAGAGGACTTAACCCGTTACACCAAATTTTGATAGAACTGATACACTAAGTACTTGTAACAACCGGTCTAAACCATTCAATATCTCATGCTGGCGTTACATTAAAAAAAATAATGAGAAAAGCTTTAAATCTCAGGTAAGAAGCTCGCTCGCGTGTCTTACTGGTATTTGCAACATTTCATCGAAAACTCGCCATCTTAAAATGTTTCCATGAAAATTTCAACGGACAATAAATGTTTATTTTTAATGATGGTAATAATAACAATGATGGTTAAAGTAAATCTCATCACATACAGTCGAGTCAGTGAACTTCTGAATTGTGTATGATGTAGACGTATGTACTCCAATCGTTTCGTGAGAGTTTCAGTAAATTGGAAGGCTTTATCTCTCATCGAGAACAAAGGGAAACTAACCTCAGGAGTTTGTTGCCATCAAGAAATTGTATCCGGCTACGTTTGGGACAGAGTACTGACCTTAGGCGCCATCCGGAGAAAAAATTGGCACGGGCTGAATCGACGAAAAGATTATTAAATACAGAACTCGATAAAATCATAACGATAAACTGAAAAAATGTAAAGTGGACGTTAACGGTTATCAAACTTGATCTTTGATGAAAAGTTACTGCAAAATGTCAGTCACAAAGGATCAATCAGCAAAAGTAAGCTGCTCAAGTCGTGAAGTAGCCGTTAATATTCATTATATATTTTTGGTAAAAAACGTACAAGAAGTGCCAACGTTTTGTCACGGTTTATGTGTTTCTTTTAATCATCTGCTAGTAACTTGTCGAGGCGATCAGATTGCTTGTGCAAATCAACAAAAGTGTATCCCAGCGTCTTACCGCTGCGATGGAGACACTGACTGTAGTGATGGATCAGACGAACAATGCAGTAAGTACTGTGGTTGATCTTCTACTTCTGTACATCTTCTTATTCTCTATATAGGGTTAGCGTAAAAATGCTATTCTCAAAAAGTAATATTAAATTGGAAGGCTAACTCTCTTTTCAAAAATATAGAAAAAAATCTATATTTTCCAAGAACACCTCATTTCCAAGAACACCTCCAAGACAGCGAAATAAAATAAATCATATGCAGAGGTAGTTTTACAAAACTGAACTGGCTATTGGTTGAATGCCGTCACATTGGGCCATCTTTAGATTAAGAACTTTAACGGAATGAAAACGGTTCTTGTGATGGCCAAAGTCACTTTAAAATCGAATGAAATAAACTGCAATTAGTTGAATGAGATAGCGGCGATTTCATATACGAGATAACTCCTTTTGTATCTTACCGTTGGACAAAATCAAATGCATTAATTGGGAGACCAGAAATGATGATTTGTACTTTGCAACGTAAAATGCTCTATATGATAAATTTTTAAAGCAACCATTATTACGCATGCATGCAGTGAATGAACACTTCGGGATTTCTCGAGTAATATTGAGTTCCCCAAGCGTTAGCATATTAATTTGAAAAAAGCTTTTCTAGAAATATAGTCATGCACCCATCGGCATTGCCTTAATTGACTGTATTAATTGACCGCGAAAAGGCGAAAACGCGAACGGTCGCAACACAGGGGATGTTAAATTGCTAATGTAGAGCTTACCAATAAATTTTTCTTTTACACGTAAACTTTGTCGCCAGTGCGCCATAACCAAAATTTCATAGAGCTTAACGGTATTGTGATGATACTAATAGACCAGTTGAGTAACTTTTCCTTTTCTTTCATGTTTTACCTGCGCCAATTAGCTGGCCGTAAGTATCATAAATCTAAATCTATCTTTGTGTCGTTTCCTTGTAATATTGCTCGGATAACCGCATTGAAGGAATGGCATATTTTGTACACGTCGCTTGTATTTATTTGATTTACATGTAACTATCAATAGAAAATCTAAGATTGAGGATCTTTGAAGTATTAAAAAATGATTTCAAGAGGTGGATTGAAACGACAAAAACGGAACAAAAACCAAAGTTAGCTGGTCACCTCCTGCTTGATAGGGAGGCTGTATGAGATATGGAGGAAAGAAACTAATCAAACATGTTCATCGATTTCCATATATATTTACAAAGCCTTTCTGTCAAGACAGCTGAAATTCACGGATATTCATGTTATCAAAAAAAGGATAAAGTCGAGTCCTCGTCTCTTTCTTTTTTCAAAATTAGTCTAAAAGGCAAAAGAAGAAAAAATGACACAGAGAGACCAAGGGTCAGCGGCAACTTTCTCCTTTCTGTAGACGACAGGGATTAAAATTTAGAAAGGGAATCTGTGTTAGCAAGAGCTTGCGAGTTGCTTATTGGTCTGCTTATCGGTTCAAACATATTTAGCAGGGGAGAATTTTGAGGCAAAGGCATAACCTCGGAGATGAAAATTACTGTCCTATAGTTTTTGACTTCAGAGCTAAGAAGTATGTCTAAATTGTTAGGATTATTTTAGGTTTTGTTTGTTCTTTTCCTTTTCTTAAATACACAGGCTCAATATTTTGTCTTTGAATTTAAGTTGTTTTTATTATCATACAGGAAAGTGTGCAAACTACGAGTTCACTTGTGCTAATGGAAAGTGTCTTAGTAAATGGAGACGTTGCTATTCGGGAGATAACTGTGGTGATGGTTCAGATGAACAGCAGTGTCGTAAGTTTGTTATCACTGTCACCGTTGTCCAAATAGTGCAGTCGCCTTTCCTATGGGCTGATGGCTAACTATTCAAGTTGTGCTGTAGTAATCAGGTCGAGATACAAACAAATATTGGGAGCTGTCTCTCCGCCTTCTCTCTTTTTCAATGAATCGAATAATTAATAACTTTAACTATAATATGGACCGAGTAGGCAAAATTAAGCTTGTTCTTATTGTTGTTACTATCGACAATTTAGTATGTTTTTCTTCAGTTTCCATTTCATTTTTATTGTTTATTTAGTTGTTTGTTGTTGCTATTTTTTTTTTCTTTCAACTGCAAATGCAATAAACAAATCTTGGTTACTACATAATTTGAGATTGTTTTCTTTTCTCTCAATGTACGAAACATTTTCATGGAAATATTAGCTCAAAGTAAGTAATCTTTTGGATATTTTATTAATTTCTTAACTTTTAAGTGCAAAACAATGTGTTCGCTTATTTAATCACTTACTTATTCTATGTCATTTATACTTTTCTGTAATTATTTCAGTGCAATGGTAATCACACTTTTGTCAAAGAGAAGTGTAGCAGCTACCTGTTTGAAGCATTCATGCTTGCGGGCGAGAAATTTTTTAGAAAGTTTTTTTTTTTAATCGAAACTTACTGTTGACAGTCACTAGTATACAAAACATTTACTAAAAATAATTCAATGTGTTTTTATGTTTTCCCATTAAGTTTTGAAATGAGGATAGTTTGACGTCTTTCACGTTTCCATCATGATGGCGAGGCCCCCTGTTTTTGTATAAAATGGATTTGTTTTATTTGCCCTGGCGAGCAGGATAACAATATGCTCACAGGTCACCAAGTTTTTGCAACACGACTTACAATAGCTCTTCCTTTTCAGGAGGAGAATGAAATATAAAACAGTGCGCACCTTTGCTGTCAGGGCGTTGATATTGATCTTTCGGGAATTTTTAAAAAGCACAAGGAAGGATTAACTCAGCTGCATCATTCACTATGATAATAAAAACTGCATGTCCAAAAGAAAAGCATTTAAATATTTTGATTAAATTTCTGGCACTGTATAGGAAATATCTCATTACTCTTCCCACTTTTCTATGCTTTGTTAACACGGGGATGTGATGGCCGGTGATTTTCTTTTCTTTCCTTTCTCTATGTTTTTCATGGACTGCACTTCGGAAACATCAGGAAGTAAGTGCTACTTCAATTTCTTAATGTAGATGTTACTCCTAACCTGTCACATGACCAAAAAGCTGCAAACCACTCCCATTCTGTACCCTTTCTACCAGCTGAAAACTAATAATAACAAAAGAAAAGATCAGGAGGCGTTGTACTTCGTTCAGAAGTCGAGATTTGCGTTTCGGCCTGTAAAATAACCCATGTTTCAAGGTCACACACTGAATCCTAAACCTTAATGAATAATTTTACCTTAGCCTCTCTTCAGGACTCACTTAATTTTGCGTTTGCATTGTTTTGAACAACAAATGATTGTTAAAATTAGAAAAGTAGCTTTATCTTGTGGCATCATATTTAACTTTGAATGCAAGTTAGCGTGGATTTGAGTCCATTCAATGTTGAGGATTTGGTTTTTTTTTCATTCTTATTCTCTGCAAAGGAGATATCAAAGCGTCACCATCTTAGACTTAACGAAACTTGCTTTCGGTAAAGGTCTTGAAGAAAGACTTCTCCATACTTCTGTTCCACCGAAAGAAAATCAAAATCGTTTAAAAACAAAATACTTCCTTTTTCTTTTTTCAATTGCACCACATTGCATAAAAGAACGTTTCAATACTAAATGGCTTCGCTTTTCTTTCAGTTATTGATTAATGGGCCGATCAATTTAAAGCTTTAACATTCCCCCGTTGGGGAACGGTCGTTCGTGCCCAGGGTTAGGGAATGTGAGCCTCGCCTGGTTGGGGTGGGAATTTGAACCGGAAGTGTCGAATACAAGTGTTTTAACTTGTAATGTGGAGGTGTTTTAAGATAAAGAGTTCACTTTTGGGTACGAATGGCTCCGGAGAAAAGGTCTACCAGGTCTAGCTTATAGGGCTTGGCAATGTATAGAATATCAGGATCGCTCATTTTGCCTTTTCAAAAAAAATTGACCATCAAGTACAGCACTTGGGTAGAGTATTGAAACACAATTTTGGCCCCGGGGGCTGAAATTTGAACGGATCCACGGGTTCCCCGTGGGCGATGTTGAGGCTTCGAATTAATTCAATGCATAATTCATTTATTGGCCTACTCATTTTTCATCTAATCTCCCTAACTTAATTGTCATTCTGTGCTTTCTCTACTCATGTGCGGCCTTTGTGAAATACACCAGCGTGTAAGTGATTTTTGATTAGATTACTGAAGTTAATAATTTAGTTATAACATCTGTTTCTGCTCCACTTTCCATAACATTCCTAAATACCGCAAACGTGCGTGAGTAGCAAAACACAGGATGAGAGGATGAGGATGAGAATTTGATGTTCTTATACCAGTCGTTGTAATAGCAAAATAAATGACATATCTCGAAAACAGTTGATGAAGAATAACCGAGGCCAGCTTTCAGTCCCATATGATGATTGATGGGAAGTGTGTTAGTATTGCCTACTTTAACTGTAAATGTTAGTTGAACTGAACAATGTTTTATAATACTTGAATTCTGCTTATCCCTATCGTTTTCTTTGCTCTCGATATCGCCTTCGGTGGATCAAATACATGTAAATACATCAGGCGGTAGGTGAAAGCTTAGAACTAATTACTTTAAGGATAATGATACGTTGTCATCTCCTTTTGTTCGTTTTTGTTTGTTTGTTTGTTTGTTTGTTCAAAATTATTCTTCTGATTAAAGCATGAATGACCAGCTGCATTGCGGGCAGAGAGAGAGGAGAGAGAGAGAGAGAGAGAGAGAGAGAGAGAGAGAGAGAGAGAGAGAGAGAGAGAGAGAGAGAGCATAATGTCAGCAGAAGATAATGCATTAAACACAACTTTCAGGGAACTGGGTTTAAGTAAACAGAGACGGAAAACTGAGAAAATTGAAATATCGATGTATAAAGGGATGATTAAATACAACATCGACAGTACACCAGGATATTTTCTAAATTGGCATTTTCCTCCGTTCATGCTGACATTAAGGAAACTTCTAAGTAGAAAAAGAGCAAATTAAATAAAAATCTGGCATTTACTGCAAGCTTCCTTCCCTTTAAGCAAAAATGCCATTGTTGACAAGTCCGCTTATAAGATCGAAAACAACTTTGTCCCTCAGTGAACA